ATCGCACACCTTAAGCCAGTGGTTCTCAACCTGTGGGTCACAACCCTTTTAGGGGTCGAACGACCCTTTCATAGGGGTCACCTGTGACCATCCTGCATATCAGATATTTACATCACGATTCATAACAGTAGCAAAATTACAGTTATGAAGTAGTGACAAAAATAATTTTATGGTTGGGGGTCACCACAACATGAGGGACTGTATTAAAGGGTCGTGGCATTAGGAAGGTTGAGAACCACGGCCTTAAGCAGTAACATGTAATTCAGACACTGCTGGACACAGTGTGGACATCCTGGTCGGTGGTGACCATGACCACAGCAGTGACAGTTTGGCTTGGTTTGGGAGAGGAACGGCTTGGGCAGCGTGAGGTCTGGTCATCGTGGCCGTCAGTAGGATGATCAGAGCTCCTCCCTTTTCTTTTCCCAAGTGAAAGCCCCGCAGGGGAAAAACCAGAAGCCGTTTGTCTTTATCCTGGAGCCCAAGAAGCAAGGTGATCCTCCGGTGGAGTTTGCCACAGACAAGGTGGAAGAGCTCTTCGAGTGGTTCCAGAGCATCCGTGAGATCACCTGGAAGATCGATACCAAGGTGGGCGCCTGCTCACCTGGGCTCACCTGGGCCCGGGGCCTGGCATCAGGCCTCTGGTGCTCTGCTGAGGCCAGGGCTGGGTGTGGGTAGCAGGGAGAGAATTCGAGGAGTAGACAGGTGGGTTCATTGGATAGGAACACTTCTCATTAGGGAGGGAAGGGGCCAGTGGCAGCCCCCTGGGATGCTGGTCAGGGTGTATGCAGTGGTGCTCAGTGATGATGGCCGTCTGGCTCCTGTATCTTACAAGGAAGATACTGCCTCCCTCATTTTGATTATTCTTTTTAAACATTGCACAAGGCAGCTGGGTCCTTCCCACAGCAAACATTCCCTGAGCTTGCCACCCGGGACCTGGGATAGGCCCTGGGAACACAGTGATTTTTATCCTGGGGAAGGAACTTCCCCTTAGAAGGGAATGATTTTCTCGGGGTGATCCTGGCTGGAGCATTCACCCTTGGCTGGAAGTGTTTTGAGAAGGCTTTAGCCTCTGTGTAGGAACTGGGAGGCTGGAATTAGGCAGACTGGTTTGCACCCTGGCAGGGCTGGGGCCCTGGGAATGTAACCACACTGCTCTGGGCCTCAATTTCTTTGTTTGCAAAATGAGGAAGCAAATACCTTACTCAAAAATATTTAGGCATCACGTTGTTATTGTAAGGCTGACGTGGGAAAGTGTTGCCACATTTTAGGTGCTGGAGTCAGGTGCGACCTGCTCGTGCTTGTGGCTACAGAACTGGAAAGAAATTTTAGGGCTTCCCAGGTGCCCATTTGCTTCTAAGGCAGATCTTGACCCAAAGGACTGATTTTTAAAGCTGTTCTGGGTCCTCCTGTGTCCATCTGAGCTCTGGTTGGAATTGACAAGTCTCTCTTGGGTCACCCACCCAAGGTACTTGGAAGTGGTCACCACCATTGGCCTGGCCTTCCCTTCCTCTTGGGGGAGCCTCACATCCTGGCCTGCCTCTGGTCACTAGGGACCCCCTGGACTCACTCTTTCAATTTCTCTAGAGGGAAGGCATCCTCCTCAGGAGTCAGTTTGGTCAGGCATCCTCCCTAGTGGGCCCTGTCATCTGTCCCTGTCCTTATACTCGGCTTCTTATTTTTCCCATGGCTTATCATAGCATCTCCAGCCATTTGGGTTGAACTGTGAGCTTGGGCTGTTGTCCCCGCTTTCCCCAGTGGGGACATCTCACCTGGCCCCTAGCACCTCTGACCCAGAGGGGCTGTGCCACTGCCCAAGGCTCATTTGAAAAATCATTTCCAATGGGTGTTTGCCTCTCTGCTTCTCTTAATGGAGAAAAACAGGACTTCACTGGCAGGCTCCCCCTTCCTCTCCCACCTCCTCTCCTGCTGCAAGAAGGTTCCTGAAATGAAGCCAGGCTGTTCAGGGCTGCTGCCCGTGGCCTTTGATCCACATTCCTGCTTAATTAGTTTTTATATTTGCTAGGATTTTGTGAGAATTATTTCTGAAGTCTTATTACATCTGGGGATTAAGAAAACAGGGGCCAGCAGAGGTGACCAGGATCCCACTCTGGACATTCCCCCCTCCCCAACTAGCAGCAGATGACTCTCAGCTCACCGTCAGGAGCTCCTCACCAGGTCCTGGCCATGTGCCTCTGCCTGTCCCAAGGTGCCTGTTCAGGTCACCTAATCTCTGGCCACCTCCAGTTGATGGCAAGGAGCAATGACGAGGTCTGAGTGCCAGTGCTGAATGCCATTGACGTAGGACAGTCAGATGAGGGATGGTGTGAGGCCAAGCAGGCCCAGAATGAAGGGGGCAGGGACTGATCTAGACAGTTTTCCAGCCATGGCTGGAGTTACCCAGGGAGGCTTCCTGAGCGGGGGTGATTTGGAGGGCAGGGTCCAGGGTGAGACGAGATCCAGGAGGCAGATTCTGTGGTTTGGAGGTACTTGGGGTATGAACTCTGGGGTCAGATATAGGAGACATTTACTATTTCATTGACACCTTCTGCAGGACCTGGTGGCTGATGAGGTGTGAGGTGACACAGCTGTGAGACATGGGGCAGGAACAGAGGCTTTGGGTTGGGCCAGTCACTTAAGCTTCTGGTTTTCATGCTGGATGGCTGTGTGGCCTGAGGGAAGTTACTCAGCTTCCCTGTGTTAAAGGGAGATAGTGTCGCCTTCCAGACCTGTATGTTAACTTAGATGCTATAAAGCTAAGCACCTTCCCTCCATAGTGATGGTTGTTACCTAAATATTCTCTCAAGGTTCCCCCTTGGCCAATCAAAGGCTGATAGGAAGAATTTGGGGAGGACTAAGAGGGTTGTCTGTTTTGGTATCAAGTAAATAGCTCAGCCTTCTTCAGATGGAGTGAGATTTAACAGTGGGTCCCCTGGAGAAAAATGCTTCCCCAGTCCATGGCATGTGGCCTAAGCCCTGGGGACAACTTCCTTCAGACAGAGCTGGGACAGGCACTAAGGGGCAGAGAGGGGCTTGCATGTTTCAGCTTGCAGGGAATAGCTGGTTAGAACAAGAACTTTTGGAGAACTAGAATTGGACGAACTGTAACAGTAGGGCTTTAGGGGAGAGGGCAGGTGATGGAAAAGAGCCCTCCCCATGCCATCCTGACCCCTGTCTATTTTTGAGACCTGCAGTCAGCTAGGACTGAGCTAGACACCAAACTTGGGTTGGAGATACAGGAAGAGAGAGAGAGGAGGGACTGGGGGGAACTTCAGGAAGGCAGAACATTCAACTCTACTAAAGCTCCGAGGGCGAGGTGGGGAGGAGGAGGAGACTGCCTGGGAGCGGGGAGTGTGGGATTTCTCGGGGCTGGCTGGAGGCTGAAACTAAAGCTAGGTGACTCTAAACAGGAGAACAACATGAAGTACTGGGAGAAGAACCAGTCCATTGCCATCGAGCTCTCTGACCTCGTTGTTTACTGCAAACCCACCAGCAAAACCAAGGATAATTTAGGTAACAACTTCCCCATGAGCCTGCCCCGTAATGGCAGTGAAAATTGTTTCCTTTAAGACCTTATAGCATCAGAGAGGGCAGCAGTGAGCAAGGCAGATGCCTCACCTTGAGTTTGTCCTTGGGGTACTGGCGGAAGAGACCCTTTTGGTGCCTTAGTGGGATAAACCATTTAGAGGGTAAATGAGTTTTATTCTGCTGCTGTAAAAAATTTCCACAAGTTTGGTGGCTGAAAACACCATACCTTTATTCTTGTACAGTTCCAGAGATCAGAATCACTGGTCCAAAATCGGGGCGTCAGCAGGGCTGTAGTGACTCTAGGGGAGAATTCCAGTCTTTGCTTCTCCCAGTTGCTGGCATTTCTTGGCTTGTGGCTGTACCACTCTGGCCTCTCTCTCTTCCTCCTTAGTAGAAGGACTCTTGTGGTTGCATTCAGGTCTGCCTCCCCATTTCAAGCCCTTTCATTTAATTATATTTGTAAAATCCCTTTTGCCATGTAAGGTCTAATTTTCACAGGTTCCTGGCATTAGGACCTAGATATCCTGGGGGCCATTATTCAGCCAAATCTGAGTCCATTAAGAAATGGATTTTCTATCAAATTCTCCAAGTAGCAAGTTCTTTGATGATGTTGTTCATATTTTACTTCTCCTTTCTTTGGGCCTGTTGAACAACTTCATATCTTTCATCTCCAGAATCTGTGATTCCAGAACAGAAGACCAGAGAAATAGTAATAAACCCCAGAGTTAACTCTTAAAAGTGGCGGGCAGGTCCCTAGGGCCCCCCTACGTTCTGGGACAGATGCCAAAGCTGAGGACCAGATTCAGTACGTTTACTACTTGGCTGTCTCCCCCACCCCAGCTGGATGTGAGGGAGCAAAGGAGAATCATGTCCCCATTCCTCCTCCCACACTGGCACCCCCTCCTGTCACATCCCTGCCTGCAGGCAGTAACAGGTGATTCTCAGTCAATAAGATGCTTAGTGCATTCTTTGTGTCTAGAGCATCCTTGGTGGGGAAGGCAGACTGCTCTGTGCATCTTCCAGTCCTAAAAGCTACTGGAAACCCTCCTCATCTTCCCCTTTCTATGACCCATACCACTTTTGTCTTTTCTTGTTCGAGGCTGTTGTAGTTGTAAATGAAAAGTAAATTACAATAGTTCTAGGCTAAAAGGCTGTAGGAAGACTACTCCCCTCCCTCCCAATACCTGGGACCCTGGGAGGGCAAGAGTCTATAGTGGTACCGATTGTTATGGCATTGTCATCACAACCCCTTGAATGTCTTGCCAAAAAGAGACATTCCTGGTTTCCTTTTACAACTTGAGCACTCAGCAGCCATCACACTAAGGGGTTGTGATGACAATTAAGAAAATGCACAGAAGGCTATGTTAACCAGTTTGATGAGAGTATTTCAAAATGTATATGAAAACACCACACTGTACCCCGTGATTGCATTAATGTACACAGCTATGATTTAATAAAAAAAATCTTTTAAAAAAAAATGCACAGATAAGACAAAGAATAAATGGTGACCTTTTTTTCCGTGTGTGCAGAAAATCCTGACTTCCGAGAAATCCGTTCCTTCGTGGAGACAAAGGCAGACAGCATCACCCGACAGAAGCCCCTAGATCTCTTGAAGTACAATCAAAAGGGCCTGACCCGCGTCTACCCCAAGGGACAAAGGGTTGACTCCTCCAACTACGATCCCTTCCGCCTCTGGGTGTGCGGCTCCCAGATGGTGGCGCTTAATTTCCAGTCTGCAGGTACAGGGGAGCTGGAAGTAGCCGGTCAGTGAGAGAAGGCAGTGGTGTTAGTCCAGGCGACCTCTGCTGATGTGGGGATGCCAGGGTTCAGCCAGCATGCTACTTAGCACGAGGACTGTCAACAGAAGGGGGTGTTGAGGGCGGTGGAGGCGCTTGGATCAGGCGTGCTCTGTGATTGCAGAGACAGAGCCAGGTTGGCTTGAGAGGTAAAGGAAGTACATTACCTCATGTAGTTTAAAAGTATAGGAGCTGGTTCCTAGCTGCATGCAAGGCTGGGTACAAGCATTCAGTGCGGTCTTCAGGGCTCTCTCCTCCTGGTCCCTTCTCCTCTTCCACAGATATTCACATGCTGGGGGAAAAAGAACATAAATATTTGCACACACAACGAGAGCATACATCACAGCACTTTGCATTTCTGTTATGTTGCATAAAGCTGCTTTTGGGGTTTACTGGTAGCTTCCTTTACATTCTTTATATAGCCCCAGAGGATTCCACTGAATGGAACCATGGTTTATTTAACAAGTCCCTGTGGGGACACGGTTATCTTGTTCCCTGGGGTTTGCTATCATGGACAGCACCACCTCCTTATGTAGCCTTACATGAGCATATGAGAGCTAGGAGTACCTCTGTGGGACAGGATTCTCAGATCACAGTGTGATAAACTTTGCCCTGAAGACGACCCCTGAGCACCTGTCTCCAGCTGAGCCTGAGCGCAGACACTCTACCAATTTGCATTGCACACTCTTGAGGGCAGTGCTAAACGACCATCAAGAGTGTGGAATGCAAATTGGTAGAGTCTGAACACATTCTTTTGTATAACTTCTCCTTGGTTTTATTGAATTTTTCAGCCTTCGCCCATTTTGAGAGGTGAAAATTGATACAGTATAGTCAATTATACTATAATATATATTATATATACTATACATAGTATAGTATATATAGTATATATTACACTATATTATATATTACACTATATTATATACATTATTATATAATATATATAATTACACTATATTACGCTGTATAATACACTATATATTATATAATATATACTACATTATATAGTATTATACTGTATATATATTATGTTATGGTGTTTCTTTCATGGGTGATATTAGCCATTTTTCCATTGTTTAGGGAACATCTGCCTTTTCTGGCACTGCTCATGCTTTAGCTACCTAATGCAGTATTTATTGCATACATTCATCAGAGCCCTTGAAAGGTTAAAAATGTTTATGTATTTGTCATTTGAATTGAAATGATTTCACTTAGTGCAATTTTTTTTGTAAGTAGACATTTTTTAGGTCTCAGTAGGTTTTAATCTTTTATGGTTCTGGATTTTGTGACGTATGCGGGAAGGTGTTCCCCTGAGACTGTTATTTTAAATACCTCATATTTTCCTAGAGTCAGATAGCTCTTTGAACAACCGCCTTAAGTTAATTTTGGAAGCAGGTGTAACCTGTTTTCCACCCAGCAACTGTCCTGGCCCAGGAGGGCCCGTCATCATGCTGGCCTTACAGCGGGAGTGCGTTTTCCTTCCCAGATAAGTACATGCAGATGAATCACGCGTTGTTTTCTCTCAACGGGCGGACGGGCTACGTCCTACAGCCTGAGAGCATGAGGACAGAGACGTACCACCCGATGCCACCTGAGTCCCAGAGGAAGATCCAGATGACGCTGACTGTCAAGGTGAAGTCAGGTCTCCTCCTCACCCCAGGGGCTGGGCCACTGCTGCCTTAGGAGATGATCTTCCCCTTGTTTAAAACATCAGCATCCAGGGACAGTGTTTTAGGATCTTTATTGCAGTACCCTCCAGGGTCACAGTGAAGGCAAGGTATCAATCCCTCTCCGGAGTCCCAGTGAGGTCAGCCTTTAGCTAGAGGGAAACAAAACATGGGAAATAGCCATTTGGTCTTAGTAGCGAAGGCAGTTTTAGGGGTCAAAGCTTTTAAGAATTTATCTAGCTTTCAGATAGTGTGTTGTTTGTAAGAGAGAAATGAATCGTGTTTCATATGATATTAAGGAAGAAAGCAATGCAGGGTATGTAACCAAAGGTCTTTAAATAAAGACCACTTACAAAAAGAATGCCACACTCTCCTGCAGTCTTTCCCGGGTACAGGGAAATCCACAGGCGAAGCTCTCTGTGCTGGTAGATATCCAAGGATGAGACCCACCTGCTGAGTCAGATGGCCCGGGGCTGAGATCCAGGCTTATCTTGAATTGCTGTGGGACTCCATACACTCCACCCTCACTTCTTGGTCCACAGAAGGGAAACAGTGATGGTTGCTGCTTCACAGCTCTTCACTGTGGCTTCTCCAGTAAATCAGTTCCCTCAACAGCTTTCTGGGGACAATGAGGTTGACTTTGAATTCATACAAAAAGAAAAGAGTGTTTTCTTTTTAATTGAAAACACTATAGCTGGGGGTGGTGGCTCTCACTTGCAATCCCAGCACTCTGGAAAGCTGAGCCAGGTAGACTGCTTGAGTTTAAGTTTGTCACCAGCCTGAACAAGAGAGAGACCCCATCTCTATTAAAAATAGAAAAACTAGCAGGGTGGTATGGTGGGTGGCTGTAGTCCCAGCTACTTGGGAAGCTGAGGCAAGAGGATCACTTGAGCCCAAGCGCCTGAGGTTATATGGCTATGATGCCACAGCATTCTACCCAGGGCACAGGTGAGACTGTCTCAACAAACAACAGCAACAAAAAGCCCCCCACCAAAACCAAACCAAACCCCAAAAACCAAAACCTCTTTATCCTAAGGAGTCAGGTTTTAGGATGAAATTTCCTGAGGCCCTTTGCTTACCTTGGTGTCCTAGGTTCTCGGCGCCCGCCATCTCCCCAAACTTGGGCGAAGTATTGCCTGTCCTTTTGTAGAGGTGGAGATATGTGGAGCCGAGTATGACAACAACAAGTTTAAGACGACAGTTGTGAGTAAGTTGCCTGGGCCTTTTCTTCCTGGCCAGCGGGGATGCTCTCCTCTGCGGACACTGATGTGCTTTTGCTCTCTGGGCATTTCCGTTCATCTCTCCTGCCCACAGTGGTTCAGCTTAGGGAGAGAAAACAAAGGGGCCACTTTATTAAGTTGCTTGACTTGTACCCCGTGCTGTGTTTCTGTGTCCCTGATCAAGTCCAGAGTCTTCGGCAAGGCTGTCACTCCCTGACACTAGGTTGGTCTTCTCTGTGCAAAAGCCCAGCCTGATTTATCTATGCAGAGACATAAGGGGGTGGCGGGGGCATAACAGGGCTGACCTGGAGGACTCACCCTAACCTGGGGAACCGATGCTTAGAAGGTGGGGAGGACAAGTGGAAGGCTTGCTCTGCCAGGAGAAGCCAGGAAGGAACCACAAACAGTGGGCTTTTTAAGGCCAAGACCACTGTCTGTAATGACAGCCCCGTGACCAATCACACACCCACTGATTAAATTGGCATTAGGAAGGTGGCAGGTTTTTCTTGCCTTGTTGTGTGAGGCTGGGGTTTGCCTCTTCAGCAAGCCAGGCTTCTGGATGTGGCTCCCAGCCTGTCTTCTCACCTCTCCTTTTCATCTTCCCAAACACTCCTTCCTGGCCTGCCGATGTCTCTGCTTTCCAGGGAGGTGGGTGGGAGATGTGCATGGGGGGATGTGGTCTCCTGCACCAGCAGCTCTAGCAGGATGGCTCACTGCAGGTGCGGTGGGGGAGATGATGATTCTGATTTTCTTAGACCTTGTTACAGATGCTTATTTATTTATATGGTTGTTAAGGGGATTCAAAGCTGAAGGATGGGTTTTGTTTTTAGCAGGAAGGGGGGGCAGGACAAAGGTGCCCTCTAATGAGCTTTCATGTCCTTCCAGATGATAACGGCCTCAGCCCTGTCTGGGCTCCAACACAGGAGAAGGTGACGTTTGAGATTTACGACCCAAACATGGCGTTTCTACGCTTTGTGGTTTACGAGGAAGACATGTTCAGTGATCCCAACTTTCTTGCTCACGCCACTTACCCCATTAAAGGAATCAAGTCAGGTAAGAGGCATTTTAATTAAGATGTCCAGTTTGGTCTACTGTCTTTCTTTGGTGCTGCTGGCTGCAGAAAGAATGAGAAAGCATTTCTCCTGGTTTCTGATTGAATCACCGTGAAGCTGATTGGGCAGCTTGGAAAGCTAATGCATGCACATCCTGTCACTTAGCACACAGGTGGGAAGAAGAGGGGGAAAGAGGCTGCTGAGCTCTTCGCAGTCGGGCTCTTCTGCAGGCAGAACTGGATAGTTAGTAGATTGTCAGCCTGGCACTGCAGTTTGATTTTCTTCTGAAATGTTAGAAGTGCTTTGCCTCGCCATAGCCAGGGCCGAGTCTCCCCTAGGACTGCCAGGGGCAGAGGCCTTTAGTTTCTGCGGGGAGTTATATAGTCTGGGGTCCAATTCTAAGCTTTCAGAATTCCCCTTCCTCTTCTATAAAGTCGGGAGGGTTAATTTACTTTGAATGGTTACGATTTTCTTCCATGCTGAACAAAACCCCTTTGTGATTAGAGAAGTGGCATTTTGTATTTGCCTGGCACTATACCAAGCTGGGACGTGTGACCAGCTCTTACTTAAGACTCAGGACACTGAGGCAGATCCAGAGAATGGGGAGCGACTGAGGCCTCCTGCACCACTGAGCTCCCCTCTAGGTGAAGGGAGTCTGGGCCCACGAGCTTGGTGCTACATCTAGCTCCAGTCAGTTCTTTAAGAGCGTGAGCGTCTTTGGGTTGTGCATGGTGCCCCCAATTTATTTTCCCACTGGATTTTAAATATAATGTTTGTCAACTAGGCCCTTGTGGGGTGTTGGAGTTCCTTTTTCCCCTTCCCTGGTTTTTTTTGATGCCTAAGACAGAAGATCATAGGTGCTTCTGGCTATCACTGTTTTCAAGATAAGAGATGACTGTCATTTGAGCCTTTTATATACAAATATAGTCTTTTGGGCAGATACAGGGGCTCATGCCTGTAATCCTAGCACATTGAAAGGCCAAGATGGGAAGATTGCTTGAGGCCAAGAGTTTAAGACCAGACTGAACAACATAGCAAGACTGTCTCCACAATCATAAAATATTAGCTGGATGTGAGAGTGCAGGCCTGTAGTCCTACCTGCTTGAGATGTTGAGGCAGAAGGATCCCATGAGCCTAGGAGTCAAGGCTGCAGTGACTGTGATGATGCCGCTGCATTCCAGCCCAGGCACCAGAGCAAGATACTACTGTTTTTTTTTTTTTTTTTTAAGTTTGGAACATGTCAGACATTCCCTTAATCTCTGACCATTTACAGCACTGGCCAGCAGGCATGTTGGGGGCTCAAATTAGAAAATGTAGGTTCCCATGGTGGAGTGGGGATAGTAGGGGGAAGAATCTGAATGAAATCTGTGAAAACCAAGTTGGGCCAGTGCTGCCCATCTTAGTAATGAAGAAACAAATTCCTAATCAAGTGAGAAGATGAAACAAAAATTTTGGGGAAAACCATCTGAATTTTTTTAACTCTTTAGGAATATTCATTTTATAAACTATGGTAATAGGTATCTATTTGTAAGAGGCCTAATATTGGGCAACCCCTCTTGGGTAACTTGACCACACTGTAAACTTTAAATCTAGCAATTAGGCTCTGATTTTTTTTTTTTTTTTTTTTTTTTTGAGACAAAGTCTCACTCTGTTGCCCTAGGCTAGAGTACTGGGGTATCTTAGCTCACAGCAACCTCAAACTTCCAGGCTCAAGTGAACCTCTTTCTCAGCCTCCCAAGTAGGTGGGATTATAGGCACCTGCTACAACACCCAGCTAGTTTTTCTATCATGTATTTTTTAGTAGATACAGGAGTCATGCTCTTGCTCGAGCAGGTCTCAGAACTCCTGAGCTCAAGCAATCTACCTGCCTTGGGCTCCCAGAGTGCTGGGATTATAGACGTGAGCCACGGTGCCCAGTCTAGGCTGTGATTCTTCAATTCACTTCTGTTATAAGGCTTCAGAGTGATACCCCCTTCTTCTGACACAGGAAGTATCATTTTGGTAAATCTTTATGATCCTGGCCTTGAGACCAGGATGCGTGTCTTTTCATGGTAACTCTACTTGCCTATTCCTAACCTGCCCCTGCTGGGTCTACCCTCCATGGTGGTAGCTGCGCCTACACCCCCTGGCTATCCTGGTGTCCTCTTGAAGGATGAGGGGCATGAGATTTATAACCCCTCCAAGGCCTTGGAGAGAGGTCAGAGTTGATGAAACCTCCTTACCTTGCTGAGTGTCAGTTCATCTAGAAAACGCAATGACTTTGCTGGGAGATTTAAAACAAAGACCAAAACCGCAAGGATGATTAAAAATGTGACCCTGACACCTCCCCCTCCTCACCTGAGAGATGCTATCAGCAGGGACCTTCTCTCTCTGCTTTCTAGCTCCTAGCGATGCCTGGCACATCCATATTCATGGGAAGAAAGAAAGAAAATGAACAATTCCTTTGTGCATGAGGCAGTGAGGGCCCTTGTGAACTCAAAAATAAACTTTGCCCATTGTCATTAGGGTTGCACTTAAGCTTTTCAACCAGCTGGAGCTCAGGAAGGGAAGAACCAGCATTTATTGTGTTAGGTACCTTAAATTCTTTTTTCATCCTCTCCATAATCCTGTGTAAGGGGTTTTATCATCTCTGCTTTTAAAATCCGAGCATTTTGAGGCCTCAAGATGTGAATTAACTCGGTCGAGGTCCCAGGCTTACGGAATCAGAGCTGAATGCAAATCCTGTAATGTGCAAGTTCAAACTTCCCGTTCCTGCTCTGCACGCTGCCCTCATGTGGCTTTCCTCATTCTTACCAGGTGCCAAAAGCCAGAAATGCTGTTCTTACTTTAAAAGGTGTTTCTTTTCCCTTTTCCTCATGTAATGACCAGAACCAAAACAAACAACAGGAAAAAAAAAAAAAAACTTGGACAAGATTTTTCCCATCTCCAAATTCAGAGTCAGATGCCTATACCACCTTGCCTGGAGCCATGCTCCTGGAATACACAGACTAGCTGAAGCCTCCCCATTCATTTGAATGTTCAACACCTTGAACGACTTCTTCCCCCACTGTCCACAGATAGTTCATTTGAGCTGCAGAAGCTCAGGCCCCATCCCAGTCAAAATCTGCATTTTAACAAGCGTCACAGTGATTCATGTCTACTAAAAGTTGGGGTAGCACTGTACTCAGCTGCAAGGATCCTAGGGGTGTCTATCCAGCCAAAAAAACAAACTACCACCAACAAATCACATAGCCTGTGAGAGGGAAATAGGCCAGACACCTTCACTACCGCAGTGATCAATGAGAGCCATGTCCCCAAAACCCTCCAGGGAAAAGAGTGCGCATAAAACTCTCACGCTTTATATTAAAACTGTCACTCAAGTATAAAATCAAAGGATGGATGGTTTCAAACATGCGGAGTTCAGCAATTAAATGTCCCATGAGCTTTCATGGAAGAAAACAAAAGAGGGAAAAATGTAGCTAACAAAGACATCCACATAAGAAATTCAGCAAGAGGGTGGGAATCCAGCCTTTTAAAGATACAAATTTGTGCATGTCATTGTGTGTAAATATTTATACCAGCAAGAGGAATGTGAATACTGAGCTCTGGCTAGGGAGAGAAAGCAGGCTGAGGACTTCATCCTCCTCTGAATTATATACATAAATAAGATGGGTCAATGGGCAGGTAAAGATGGGATGGAGAACGGCTGACCCTCCCTATCCCTGGCTTCTAGATCCATGGATTCAATTAACCTAGGATTGCAAGTAATTCTTCAAAACTTGTATTTTTACTGAACATGTGCAGAATTTTTCTCTTAGACTCTGAACCAGTGTTTCCCAACCATTTTTTATCTCACAGCACACTTGAACCTCTAGTTAAACTCATGGCACATTTAAATTATGTTGATTAAAAAAAGAATATACTTACTATGCTTTGAACTTCTTTCAAAAATTAGTTATCTTAATTAATGATCTTAAACATTTTTCATAGCAGGGCGGTGCCTGTGGCTCAAAGGAGGAGGGTGCTGGCCCCATATGCCGGAGGTGGTGGGTCCAAACCCAGCCCCGGCCAAAAATTGCAAAAAAAAAAAAAAAAAAATTCACAGCACATTGATTTAAAATGACTGCTCTAAACAGTGCAGTATAACATCTACTGATGTAGCATTTGTGTTGTATTAAATCTTAATGTAGAGATGATTTAGGGTGTACAGGAGGATGTGCATAGGTTGCATGAAAATACTGTGTCATCTTATGCCAGGGAGTTGAACACTGCAGATTTTGGTAACCTGGGAAGGACCCAGAACCAACTCCCCGTGGGTACTGAGGGACGACTCTATAGTAAAGGGCGAAGGGTAGAATCTAGGTGGTAGGTGTACAAATGCTCCTTGTGATATTCTTTTAGCTTTGATGTATGTTTGAAAATAGAAAAAGATTAAGCTTCCCTTTGTGGGAGAATTGTAGTTACAAAACGGAATGCAAATATGAGACCCCATGCCCATATAGAAACTCTGGTTCTTCATTTGGCCACAGGGACAAGTGTTTTGAGGATAAGGAAAATTCTCCTAATTTGCCAGCAAATGAGGAGGTGGTCAGACTCTTAAAAGAACCATCCTCTTCATTCAAGCAGAAATACAGGAGTTCTAAAGGGAGTTTCCAGCTTTGGGCTGTTGCTATTTAACTAGTCAGTGGTCTTGGTGACCTTATCTCCAAAGAAGAAAAAGATGATGAAGGCTAGCCTTTGTTGGAACAATTCCCTGAGCCCTCTCCTGGGTTCAGAGAATGCTCCTCTGCTCTCTGATTACTGGCATGGGGTAGGTTTTAGTTTCCAAAAAAGAGGGGAGAGTTTTCAGGAGACAACTTCTAATGCATTTTGCCCTTTTCAGGTCTTTACCTGTGTTACAAAACAATAGTACACCTTAGTCCAAATTAGGGAAAGCAAGCAAGCTGTGAGAGCACGCTACTTTCCTCAACCAGAAGTAGCAGAGAGCACAGACTCAATAGCTATTGTTTAAAAGGTGATAAATCACCTAAGTGTAAAATGTTCTCTTAGATGAATAAGCTGAAACCTGAAAGGTGGAGGGTGCAGAGGAAATAGAGGGCGTCCCCTCTTTGGGGACATGGCGGGAGTCTTGGAGAAGCGGCAGATACTAAGTGAAAATGCTTTCAAGACAAAGAGAAAGGATCTCTAAGATACCATGTTAAATGGAAATGCACAGTCCTCTCCTTTGTGATTTAAAAGAAACTCACATAGATGCTTAGCTGACCTTGGGAAAGATACTGTTAACAATGGTTCCCTTTGGGATAAAGGAGTAGGGTCGGGAGAGTTCTGTTTTTCACTCTGTAATCTTCTACATCAGAACCAGTGAGCAAACCAACCTCTGAGATGTATTTGGGGGAGGGGACGATTCAGCTCCTGAACGCTGCCCTTCAACCCCACATAAAGCGTTTTAATGACTGTCAAACACAGGTTTGACAGTCATTAACTGTAAATAGGGAAGGGCTTTCAGAAGAGGGTGATCAATAGTGCCGTGAACTGCCTGAGGGATGGGAAGATTTCCTCCCATTGGAAATCTTTAAAGCTAAAACACATTCCTGGTACTGTGCTTTGTACTGACCTAAGTGGAGGAAACTGACGTGAGGATTCATGGCTCTTTTAAGTCTTTCGGCCTCGGGAGTATTTAAGGAATTGAACCAGAGCTGCAATCACTCTGAATTCAATGGGGGAATGTTTTGTGGGTTTTAATTTCTTCCAAGGGCATCATTTTTATTTCTAGATGGTAGATAGTTTTAATCTTGCTTCCCTGTTAGACCTGTCAGTCAAGGCTGCTAGCCATTCTCTCTAACCAGCAGGATGGGACCTCTGACTTCTAGACAGGTGGACCCCAACACAGGGCTCCACTGGGAGCTCTGGGAACAGGGCATATAATTCCTGGGTGAAAGGTGTAAATGGTGGCACCTGGAGATGTTTGGGTCAGGTTTACTGAAAGGGGAGGGGTGGCCTGCCTGGGCAGTGCCAAGGTGGCCTCACCCCCCTGGTACAGTCATAGGCTCCTTTTATATGGGGCCATAGAGGGTGGGTGAAATTCTACAGCTTGCCTGTCAGGGTAGGGTCTTTTGGCAGGAACTTCTCAGGGGGTGGGCTAGCCAGATTCTTTGTGTCTTTGTCTGAGGAGGAGGAAAAAGGGACAGGATTTGTGTGTGGTTGCATTAGGCTCCCCCAACATTGGGTACTCCCCAAAATATAACGTCTGATGTTAGGGTGGAAAGCTTAGTAGGTGCTTGGAGAGTAAGAAAATTTCTCACCCAGATTAGTGTATAAAATTTATGTAATATTAGAAGGAGAGAGAAGAAAGGACAGGGAGATGGTGTGACAGCTCAAAGAAAGAAGAAATGGCTGCCCGGGGACCAAGAAGCTCATTGTTTTTAAGAGGGTTATACATGGGTGGGTACAGCTGAGAAACTGCTGTATCTTTTTTATTCCTAGTAGCATTTAGATAAGAAAAACAAGCTGGGGACAGATGTCAAAGTTCAAGAGCTGGGATTATTGGGATTATCTGTCACAGGAGATGGCCAGAATCTGCCCTCAAGATATGGCTAAAGCCTGAGTCTCCTCCTCTGCTGTTTACTTAAGAACTCTGTGAGAAACAAACTATCTAAGGCCAATTTCGAAAGAGAAGGATTTACACCACCCTCCTGTCTGTTCAGCCCTTTTGAGAAGTTGTGCAAAACAGAATTCCCACGGACTAGGGAGCCTGTTGGCAAGAGCATTTATGGGATTGATCTCTGTCTGTCACTAACGTAGTGCAAAATTAGTAATTTTCTGTTATTTTTGTCATTTTTGCAAGGCTGCCCCTTCCATCTGAACATTAATTACCTGCCTTTGTGTTTCCTCCCCCTCTTCTGCTACAGGATTCAGATCTGTTCCTCTGAAGAATGGGTACAGTGAGGACATCGAGCTTGCTTCCCTCCTGGTTCTCTGTGAGATGCGGCCAGTCCTGGTAAGTGGGAAACGCCAGTCAGAGCTTCCTGAGCTGCACCTGCTGGGGGTAGGTGTAGAAATGCCCTTGGAAGCCCACTGGCTCATGGACTCAAATCCACTGAGAATTATCTAGTCTGACCATGAGACTCATAAAAGAATTCCTTTTTGCCAATTCTCCAGAGGTTATGAGTTTTTCTTCCCACCATCTTTCTGGAGAACGCCGTATGTCTCTGAGCAGCCAGGGAGAAAGGGTGAAGGTCCTTGGATGTTCCTCACTGTCAGGGTGGAAAGCTTAGGAGGTGCCCCACACAGGATGAGGAAGGAACTTCTCTAGACCAAGATTAGGATATAGAAGTGTAAGTTTGTTTTATCTTTTAGAGAAGAGAGCAGGGAGATGGTGTGGCATTCCAAAGAAAAAGAGAAAGAATGCCAGCAGCTGAGGTCTCACAGTTGCTGAATTTTGGGGGGGAGGGGCAAAGAAAAAAAAGGAAGTAATTGCAGCCAAATTCACAAGGTGTATGGTGGCTGTGAATGCTGTATCTGTTTTTCCCTCTAGCGAGGTTAGAGAGACTTTTTACAGGTATTTCTGATCCTGAGGATGTTTAGATCCCATTGTTTGCCTGGCACCCTTGAGGCTATAGAAACAAATTCTGCTAGGCAGAGAAAGACTGATTTGAGTCCTTACAGAAAAATGAGTTAATTTATTGTTTCACTATGAAGACTCCCCATCCTCATGCTTAGTTTCATTTCCTACTCTGTTTCACATTTAGGCAGATTGATGTTTTTCTAGACAAGCGCATCCTTTCTGGATGCTTCTCCCTTCCTGTTGGCAATCTGATAAATCCTCCAGAGGGTGTGAGAGTGGAGGCAAACATCTCCCCTGGCCTGTCCTGGGGAAGGAAATGTGTGGGCCCTTCTTCACCTAGTGAGGTGGCACCTCGGTGACTCTCTACTTCCTCCTTGGCCCTTTTGGTTTGCCACAACCTTGAAGATACTTAGTCTCTGTACTTTTCTTTGGCTAACTGAAAAACAAACAAACAAAAAAAACCGGAACTGTGGTTCTGAATGCCAGTGGGCTGATGCCCCTGGGATACTCATCCTAGTTGTTTTTTGGGTAGAGAAATCACAATCTGTAATGTTATTCCTTTGTCTGTAACAACTGAACTGTGCTATTTGGAAGTTGCTTGTTTGGCAACTTCAGGAATATAGCTGAGAACCTTCAAATGGGGGGAGGGAAAACAAGGGGTGTGGACACCTTTGCAGCAGGCCTAGCGAGTCCTTGAACTTGACTCAGAGGAGAGAATGTTAGGCTTTTCTGCAACGCTGTTGCCCTGTGTTTAGTTTTCTACTCCAAGGCATTTTAGAGGCATCAAGATGAAATGGGATGCAAACATGAGAGAAAGCCAGAAAACAGTGAAAAAAGGGAGGAGAGACTTAACAGAAGCCAAAGAACCTGAGACGGCCAACAGTACCTCCTTCAGTGGGAATCTTGCCTGACAGCCTGGGGTCTGGGAGAGAAAGTGAAATTTACACACACACACACACTGTTCTGACCTGCAAGAGATGATACCGCGCCAGCCCCTCGAGAGGCTAACAGGTGCCACCCTGAGCCCAGCACTTAGGGCTATTTATTTAGAAAATTAGGGGTGTGTTTACACAAGGCAAAAAGTGAAAAGTGAAAAGGTAACAGCTTCATACTTCAATTAAACAGGCAGTTCTTTGTTTAGGGAAGAAAGTTATCAGGCTGAAGGGCAGGGGCATACTAAGCTACAAATCAAAGAATACTTTGGGGAAATTTAATGAAGGAAAGCTACAGCCTTTGGGTCAAGATGCCTGCAGGGTATCTGTGGGGGCAACTATCAATTACTTTCTAGTTTTATTTATATTCTTGTTTCTAAGCAGCTGATCTCTAGACATCTCCCAGGCTATTTTCTTATCTACTCTCCTGGACATTGCAACCCCCCCCCCCCCAATCATAGGCATGCATTGCAGCAGCAGAGCTGAAATTCAGGGCCATAACCTGCTCAAGATTTCAGGGGGAACACCAGTGTACTCTACCTTTCACCCACACAACCATAAATTAATCATCCCCCCCCTCCCAGCTGGTCATTTACAGAGAGTCCACTTACAAACGTGCCCATCTTCAGGTGGGTACCCTATTCCTCCTTTAAGTCTGAATTATTTCCTTAGGATCAATACTCAGATATGGAATTAATAGGATCATTTAATTTAGCAGGATGGTATAGTTATAAAACCTTCAGCAACAGCCTTAACCAAGTAAATGTGAAGACCCTTAGTTAAGTTTTACCTCTCCCTGACCCACTGACGGACCTGGGATTTATCTACCTGTAGCCCAGGAAGGGAAACCAGTGCTGCTTCTCTGTGTAAGTAAAGCCCATCTGCAGACCTTCTGCAGCAAAGTCAAGTGATAAAAATGGTTTCAGACGGTAGCAGGACAGAGTTAATCTAGGTATGTTTTGCAGAATTCATCTAGATAGGTTTCTGAGACTCTAGGGCCGTGAATTTCAACCAGGGTGACATGAAAATTTTTAAAGATTATTTTCAAAAGAAGTTCAAGGGACAATAAGTACATTTTTTTTGGACCCACATAATTTAAGCGTGCCACAGAAGTTTAACTAGAAGTTCAAGAGTGCCATGAGATAAAAAAAGGTTGAAAAACACTGGTCTAAGAGCTCTACAAAGCTGTTGTAAACAACCCAGAAACATTATAATTTCAGTGATTATCATTGGCAGCGGAGTAGTATATTTAAAAGAAAATTGTGTTTATGCACATTTGACTTCCTTGCTAAGGGATGTATTTCCATCCTCACTGGGATGGTGGTGGTGGTGGGGTCTCTCTTGGAAGCTGAGCTGAATTGCCTTTGGTAGACTTTGACTTGTTCTGTGAGGTGCAGGGTCTGACCTTGTTTTATTTATCAACATCTTCTCTGGAAGCCAGGGAGAGACTCTGGTAAACAGCCTTGAGAAAGACTTGTCTGAGCAAATGATTGATTCAGTGAGGGCTGAGGTGGAGTTTCCTCAGAAAACATTTGCTGAGAAAGACTGTAAAGCCCCAGAAAACTGTCAGTAAGGACTTTGAACACCTACTGAAGAAACCTTTTACATGGCACAAAGACTTTATCAATTCTCAGTCCTTTACTTTGTTGGCAATATATATGGTTTATAAAAAGTATTTTTAGCACTGTTGTATTACCTACTATACTTAATTTGAGAAGGAGGGGAAAAGAGAATTTGGAAAAAAAATCCTCACCAACAACCTGTTTGTAACCACTGTTAGCACCTTGGTGGGTTTCCTTTGCCTTATGATTTTTTTGCATGTGCTATTTCCACAGTGGGATTCATTTGTTTTTCTACTTCACAGATGTTTTTAAACCTTTTTTCCATGTTATCATTTGATTTTCGAAGCCAGTGGTGCCTGTCTCTAATTTCCACAAATAACAAAGGTCTTCATGTAATATTTTTGAATAAACATTATTTCCCAAGGCTAAAAAAAAGGACCATCTTTTTTGATGCATGTTGAATTGTTGTCTGAAAGTAAATACTGTAGTTTCTTTTATGATGATGGGTTATATCCCATCTTGCTATTAATTGGGATAGGGGTCTGCTCAAATGATTTAAACTAGCAAGATTCAGAAGCTGGGGACCGGGGAAGTATCCATCACCATCGCCGGGCAAGCTAACAGTTCCTGGGGGTGCATTGGAGAGAACTGGCTGCTGCAGGGTCTGTAGAGTTTTGCTTTGCGCTGGGTGGGAGCTAAGGTGTAAGGGGTAGAGAGAGGCTTAGTGAAAAAATTGTGATGCTGTTTTTCTAGGTGGAAGCTCACCCAGGGCAGATGTGTGAAGCCCTTGGGAGGCCAGCTGTAGCACACACTCGGGAATCCTGGAGGGCTGGGTCTGGGAGCCACACTCTGGAACCCAGCTGGGTCCTGGCTTTGGGGGTGGGGAAGATTTCCTTATACCTCAGGGAAATGTGGGGGCTCTAACGCAGCCACATAGGAATACTTTACCCTCTTCCTCCTCTCCTCCTCAGACAAAAGACCTTGTTAGCCCCATTCCGGAGTTCCTGCCCAAGAACCCTAATTCACCGATGCCTTCCAGGCAAGCTATGGAATTTGTCCACCCATGGCCCCATATCACAGGGGTCTCTAACTGTCCCCAGGTGCAGATGCCACCTTTGCACTGCCCAGGCAGGTTGCCCTCCCCTTTCAATACACCTGGCCTCCACTGCTTCCACCTTTCACCTCCTTAGGCTTCCCAGTGCTGGCTCCAAAAAGCAGAAACTGCCATGCCTCCACCCCATGATGCAACAGTTTGACATGGCAACATGAGCGTGCTATGACAAAACCCGGCACACAGCAACAAGGGGAGGACAGACGCAGGTGGACCCTGGGGATAGGCGGCTAACAATCAGAGTAGAGCCAGTGGAAACATCAGATAAAAGTCACAGCAGCTCTCAAAGATGCTAATAATTTGCTGCTTGAGAGGGCTTATTGGGTCCCAGCTGGGATGACTAGACAACACGCTGGTCATTTTTTAGTAAACATTTAAAATTCCAAGGCTAAATCTAAAAATTGTACAGTTTAAACAGGTGATTGCCTGGTATTGAATTACATCACAAAGCTGTTACCAAACTAAAGCCAAGGAACCATAAATTACATCCCCCACACATGGGCATGCACCTTTGTCCATGAACCTCCTCCAGGCATGGGCCCCAAGCCAATCAGAGGTGTCTGTGGGACCTCTGTTGGTGCTCGCAGTATAAAGATAGTTTCTGCACAATCTACTAGGAGTATATCCAAAAGACCAAGAATCACTTAACAAAAAAGATATTTGCACCAGATTATTCATTGCAGCTCAATTTGTAATAGCCAAGTCATGGAAGAAGCCCAAGTGCCCTTCATCCCATGAATGGATTAATAAATTGTGGTATAAGTATATCATGGAATACTATGCAGCCTTAAAAAGATGGAGACTTTACCTCTTTTATGTTTACATGGAGGGATCTGGAACATATCCTCCGGAGTAAAGTGTCTCAGGAATGGAGGCAAAAGTATCCAATGTACTCAGTCCTTCTATGAAACCTACTTATATTTACTCACACTTTCTTATAAAAAATAGAACAACTATAGCCCAGGATGATGGAGAGAAGTGGAGTGGGAGGGGAGGGGAGGAGGGAGTTTTGACAGAGGGAGGGTAAAAGGCAGGACCACACCTATGGAGCATATGACAAGGGTACAAGTCAAATCTGTGAAATGTAAAACATAGATGTTTTGGCACAATAATCAAGTAATTGAGGTGAAAGCTATGTTGATTGGTTAAATGTAATCATGTTAGATTGTATTAAAAAAACCCAGCACATTGTACCCCACATATGCATGAATGTATCCAAGATCTACGTGTATTTGACTTAATAAAATTTAAAAAAAAGACAGTTTCTTTCCTTGGGATAGGCTAAAGAGCAAGGGTGTCCAGTTGCTAGTGGTCCTGTCCTGGCCCCTTTGCTATCACGTTGAGAAAGCTGAATGTACGCCAGGTCCAGCCATAACTTTCCAGTTAAATCATTCTCTCCATTATACAAAGGGAGGGGGAGAAAAGTCCCCCCGAGTAAGGAGCTACCATTCATCTACTGTCTCCGTGAATTTGCATGTTCTGGGCATTTCACATAAATAGCTTCTTACAGAATGTGAACCTTTAGAACCAGGTTATTTCACTCAGTGTAATGTTTCCACAGCTCACCCATGGTGCAGGCTTCGCTTTGCCTTTTAAGGCCTCGCAGGAGATCTTACATTTTCTGCTGCCTCTCTGCCCTCGTATCAGGCTGTTCTTTCTCCCCTCTTGGGCTCCACTTTAAGCATGAAGCTGCACAGACACCTTTGCATTTAAAGGCCAAAAGGTAATGCATCGATGTACACAGTCGTGCTTTAATAAAAAACAATTAAAAAAAATAAAACTTAAAAAGTGATGCAGACCAAGGGAAGACTGGATTAAGACATAGCTCCTTGGGCAATGCATTTGTTATTTCAGTGTTTCACAACACAGCAAAGTCATAAGGACCAAGAATTTTTATGAGTGGCTTGCTTCCCATACGAATATTGCGAGATTTATCTTTGGTTAAAATAGGCCCTGGCTTTTCTGGGATAATCCCAATGGCAAAACTTATGCCCCCCTGCTCCCTTCAGGCAGGTTCCTGAGCTGCGGTGTTTCACACCGTGGTGTGGTGGGGAAGATGTGGTCTCCACACGATTGTTCTCTCCCCTGCTCTCCAGGAGTGCGAGGAAGAGCTTTACTCCTCCTGTCGCCAGCTGCGGAGGCGTCAAGAAGAGCTCAACAACCAGCTCTTTCTGTATGACACACACCAGAACTTGCGCAATGCCAACCGAGATGCCCTCATTAAGGAATTCAATGTCAACCAGAACCAGCTCCAGTTATACCAGGAGAAGTGCAGCCGGAGGTGGGTCAAGCCTCCCCCCACAACCCACAGATCCTCAGGGCCTCCAGGCACAATGGTATTGGGCACCTGGGGCCAGGCTTCTGGAAAGCTCCCATTGCTTTCTTTTCTTCCTTTCTCATTATCTCTGTCTTTTTTTTTTTTTTTTTTTTTTT